TTACCCTTAATCAACTCGGCCTCCTCTTTCAGTTCTGCAGAGCACACATGCCCTCCAAAGGTGCCCGCGGGCCTTTCCCTCTCCTGACAGGCGGGCAGGGAAAGCCTATGTGCCCGGCACACCACCGTCCCATGGAAGACGAGACCTCCCAGCCCTAGGACCACCCGACTTCCGTTCCACGGACCTGAAAACAGGCTTGAAATAAATCACATAGACCCATATTCTTAAAAACCCTTTCCTCTTAGGAGCTCCAAGTATGTTATACAGAGCATTTCATTCTCATTTATGCTATGAAATAAAAGAGCTATAGCATTGCACAATTAATACTACACCAAACAGACTTCCTTATAAAGTGCTGGTCTTGTCCTCTAGTCACTGCTACCATGGCTCTCCATTCCCTACAGGGCGACGGCCACACACAGAAGACACTTCCACTGCGGCCCTGCCGACATTCCCAATGTCTCAGTGCTGTCAGATCCGACCGCCGCCAGCCGTCTGCGCACGCTGCTTCCCACCTCCCCGCCTTGGTGCAGCTCCTGCCCCGGGGAGGCCTCGTCTCCGAAAGGGTCCTCTGCCTTCCTCAAGGGCTGCCCTGAATGACACCTCCTCAGTGAAGCCTTTGCAAACCCCCATGCGGCTTCTTAAAACACAGGCTGCTGGTCCCCACCCTCAGTCTGTTTCAGTTCTGCTGGAGCCGAGAATCTGCATTTCCAGCCAATTCCCAGGTGATGCTGTGGCTACTCTGAGGGCACAGCTGCCCTGTGGAGTAGAAAGTGCGCTGTGCCCAGAGCCTGTGCTCCTTCACCACGCTGCACACACCCTGCCGCACTTTCCCCTCAGGGTGAGAGCTCAAGGACAGGGACAGGCAGCACGCAGGGCTCGGTCACTCAACTGAAGGACGGATGGGTGGGTGGGTGGGTGGATAAATGGATGGACAGTCAGACTGACAAATGAATGGATTAGACTGATTTACAAAGCTTTTCCATCCAGGTTCAGGAGCTCATAAATGCCTACCCCAGCCCCAAAATACCTTAAAAACATCATCTACAACAGATTCCTACTGTACAGAGAAGGTAAAAAGAAATTCAAGAAGAGTTTGACCTTGTGAGCCTGTGTCGAAGGAGTTCTGAGTTCTAATCTATGTTCTTTCTGCTCCCCTGGCCCATGGGGCTGTTTACCAAAGTGGCATTGAGAGAGTCAAAACAGGGTGCTTCCGAGGGCACTCTAGAACCCTAACCTGCCCGGGCACTCCCTCCCTTTACACACACACGCACACGCACGCGTGCGCACACACACGATGATTTCATTTATAGAAAGTAGATGAAGGTGGTGAGAGACATGGAGGAAGAAAGAAGAATCCAGCTTCACACAGGGAGGGAAGGGCAGCAGCTCCGTGGGGAAGGCCCCATCAGAAAAGCACTCGCTCCCAAGGGGAGTGTCTGAGCTCCAAGCAGCCCTGGGAGCCTGCCGCTGAGGTGGAGAGGCAAGGGACACAGGAAAGGGGACAAGCCTGCAGGAGGATGAGAAGCGTGAGCTCAGGGGAAATGAGAGACTAGGAGAGGACAAGTCCAGGGAACATCAGCTGGAGGGGCCGGAGGGCACCAGGAATGGCAGTCAACTGCTGAGCTGGCAGACCGGGCAGCGGGCTGGGGAAGGTCAGGGTCCAGCACGCCTCTGCCCTTCGGCGGTGGCAGGCGCAGGGATCAGCAAGGGCTTCGCTGGAGACACAGCTGGGGGAGACACGGCAAAGGCAGCGGGAGGACCAAAGTCACCGGGTCTCTGGCTGCAGGGGGTGCAGACGCAGCAGCCCGTGGCCCTAAAAACTCCTGAGTCTGTACGGAGGGCTGTTTCTCCAACAGGCCGAGCTCGCCAGCGGCTCAGAGGGAGCAGTCAGCATTCCCACTCCACTGGCGCCCAGAGTCCAGGCCATTTCCTGAGGGAACTGCAGACTGGCCTCAGGACGAAGCTGCCCGGCCTCCCTCCCCCGCTCCAGAAGCCCTGCCAAGGGAGGATCACAAAGCTGAGACCTCAGGATGCGGAGAGCTGTCACCTCCAATTCACCACACAGTCCCGGCGGCATTTGGGGGCAGGACGGATGGGAGCCCCCTACCCCCCGCACACAATGGGAGCAGTTAATGACTGGGTATTAATGACGCTGCAACCAGTGCTCCCGAGAAGATGGCTGGGGCTGCTCACCAGGGAATGCAGGGGACCCGAGCACACACTCAGCAGCAAGCAGAGGGGCGGCCTGCGTGCTGCAGAGAATCTGGGGACAGTTGCCGTCTCTCAGATTTGTCCAAAGAGGGAACAGATGGCTTCTACAGACACTGGAGGCCTTTCTGCTGCACCCTCCCCAGGAGCAAAATTGAGCTTAATCACAAAGGGGGCACTGCGAGTAGATGTCATTGAAAGGTTTTGTGAGGGTCTGGAACCTTCCTGGTGTGAGGCGCCCCGGAGGAACCCAGGTGCGGTTATTCCTCTCCACACAGTTTAGAACCTGTGATGGTCAGATGATCCTTCTGAAGAACCCAGTTCCTAGCCCTGCCCGTGTGGCTCATGGACTGAGAGGTCCCGGTTCGATTCCCGGTCAGGGCACACGCCCGGGTTGCGGGCTCGAACCCCTGAAGAACCAGCTCCTCATCAGCAAGGGGAGGAGAAGACGGGTAGAGGGGCAGGAGCGAGCGTGCTCACGAACACACCCACAGAGGGACGAGGGGATGAGATTCATCCAGAAGGAAGAAAGACACATCTGGCCTCAAGGTGAGGACACAGGAGGCACAAGACACTCACCCACGAGAGTGCTGAGGAAATCCTGGGGACAGAGAAAAGCAAGCAAGGGCCCATGCCGGATGGCAGCCGCCTGCCGGAGGAGGCCGCACCACAGAAGTCTGAGGAGGAGACTGTGTCGACCCGCTCAGGGCCTGCGGCAGACCTGAGAGGCCACAGGGCACCTTCCTCCGCTGTCGCCATTGCTGCACACGCACGGGAGGCACAGACGCAGAGAAGCATTCCGGACCCCACCGTGTGGGAAGAGCACCTATTCACGGGAACCAAACACCTGACATTTGAAAAGAGATGTCAAGGAGATAAGCCAGCCCTGGAGGAGTGAGAAATAATTCCAACCTAATAAATACTTTAGAGAGAGCAACCGTAGCCAATACAGACTTTCCCGACAGCAACCCAAATCACAGGAGATCACTCCCAGCCTCCTCCTGGAGAAGACAATAGCTACACCCGGGCCACTAAGATCAGGGAAGGGACGAGAGAAGAGACAGAGACATGCAAATAATGTCCTTTCTGAAAGACAAGGGTGAGGGGACCAAGGACACCTCGCCCCAGTGAGCAGACAGAGACCTCAGTGCTGCAGCTACTCAGCGGCTGGCGAGGAGAGTGGGCCGAGCTCGGGCTGACCCTGCCACCCGCTTTCCGAGCTCTGTCCCTAGGGCCACAGCAGGCAAGAACAGGGGTCTCTCACACAAAAGGCTTGACCCTGCAAAGTGAGTAAGAATTGAAGAAGTTGTTATGGGCTGAACTGTGTCCCCCACAAATTCATATGTTGAAACCAGTACCTCGGAATGTGGTTATATCTGGAGGTAGGGCCATTAAGGAGGTGGTTCAAGGAGAAAAGTTAAAATGAAACTGCTAGGAGGGCTCTAGTCAAACCTGACAGGTGTCTTTATAAGAACCGGACACTGGGACATACAGAGACAGCAGGGGTGCACATGCCCAGAGGGACGGCCTGTGAAGAAGCAACCGGACGCCAGCCACCCACAGGCCAAGGAGAGGCCCAGCAAACCCAGCCCTGCTGGCACACGGGCCTGGGGCTGCAGCCTCCGCCCGGAACTGGAAGAAAACAAACCCGGGTCCTCTGCGCCACCCCCGCTGCTATAGGTTGTTATAGCAGCCTGAGCATACTGAGAGGGAGGCAGTGTGACAAGGGAAAGGTGGGGTGGGGTAGGGAAAACCCACAGAAATCCAAAGAAAGGTTTTGGCCTTTCTTGTTAATTACTTCAACTATTTGGTGAAGGCAGCCAATCAACATCAACTGACTAAAATGTAGAAGAGACGCCCTCAAATCCTAGAGCCTGAATATTTTTAAAGGTCTGATCCCTTTAATTACATTGGATTATTCACTTTAAGACCACCTGTCAGCGAATCTTATAAAAAAAAACAAAAAAACAGAAAATGCACGGCATGTCCACAATTACTGTTCACCTGTGATCCTAGCGTGCCCCATATTTCAAAGTCAGTCCTGAAGACCCCATTCCCCCCACCCATTCTGAGTTTACTAAAGGCCCAGAAACCACAAGGAATGTCACAGAGGGAGTGAAAGGTGAAACCTCAGCCCTCTTTTACTCCCTCGTTCATTAACTAGAAACTGAGGAAAGAAAGAGCAGAAATGACAAACAAATCTTAGGGATCGTTTCGAGTCTCCGAGCCCAATATCCCAGTATCGAGTGCACGCAGATCACGCTGCTGACTGGTGCGCAAGCAGAGCGCATGGAGGCTGCAGCGCAGTATTTCTAAGGCAGGAGAGGCCTGTACCAAAATTGTAACCCCAAGGACAGCCAAGACAATAAATCAAGACTACTCTACGTCTCTTGGTGGCCAAGGAGACATCCGGAATATCTACGAATTGACACGCCCAAGGGACACGCCCGCTCACTCGGCAGCTATGAAGGGACCACCGGGAGCTGAGGAAAAGCCGAGCAGGCCTGCCCTTGACCATGGCCAGGAGCGGGTGCTTCCCTTCTGCCTGAACACTCACCGTCCTTCCTCGGGGCAGAGCTTGCAGTGCACCCCGGCCCAGCTCCTCGGAGCCTGGGACTCGGCTGACCCACGGGGGCAAGCCGGGGCTGGGTTGGAAGAACCAACTCACCACAGGATATTGAGACCAATCAGCGGTCACTACCAGATGATGCCACAGGTGATCAAAGGAATGCTCCACAGCCCTGCCCACCCGCTGCACAAGTGTCCCAACCCCATGACTGGGAACTCACGTCTGTGGTTCTCATTTCTGTGGTTGGGTGGGGACCGGGTCTCCTGGTCTTGGGCTTCATCCCCTTCCTCGCTGGCCAGGTGAGTATGAGCATAGTGGTAGCTGAGTCCTGGCCGGTTCTTGTAGCGCTTGCCACAGACTAGAGAGGAAAAGAGAAAAACGGAAAAACACAAATGTCAGCAACCTCTGTGGCCACTGCCATCATTCTCCATAACCACATGGGCCCGCATAAAGAAAATCCATAGGAGTGGAGACGGAAGCTGTGTCAGAGCACCATCATTTCCTCGCTGCAAGACCCTAGGCAAGTCACTTATCCTCTCTGTGCCTCAGTTCCTTCAGAGGAAAAACGTAATAATAGTACTTACCTATAGGGTTGTTGGTGATGAGGTAATCAACAGTGCCAGGACATGGGGATGGTGATGATTATTTTAAAATTTGAAGTGTGGCTGGAGTCTATCCAGTCCAACTCCCCATGGCACAGACAGCACGTGAGGCCCAGCAAGGCTAAGTGACTGGCCTGGGAACACACAGCTGGCTGTGGCAGAGCCACGAGAACCCAGGTCTCCTGGATTCCTATGCAGTACTTCACCCACCGTCCTGTGGTTGACTCCATGAAGTAGAAAAGCTTGATGCAGATAATGTTTTTGATGTATCACTCAGTGATTTCGTGTCATGAAATCACAGCCCACTTCCACCATGGAAACCACGAAACCAAGACATCCTTGGTAGATGTGGTAACTGAGAGTTTATGCCCTTGATGCCCCGGCAAGCAGATACCCAAAATCTTTAAAAATGTGTCACTGCAAACACTACCTTTCACATGGACATTGTTAGACAAAGACAATAAGCAACAGAAATATGGCCAAGAGAGGGGGCAGTTCTACGGGTTAGATGCACAGTACCTGGGAAGTCTGGCTAAATAGCTTAAGACCAGATCAGCATCCCTAACCTCCCCCAACAATGCCTCAGCCCCAGAAGGATGCCACTGCTGGTAGCAGAAGCCTCAAAGCTCTTCTGGTAAAAACCCGATGCCAGCCCTCACATCATGCCCCACCGCTCCCCAGCACAGCAGACCCCACCTGGTCTGTGGGAACATCTGAGGTCATAAGCTTTAAGAGACTGGGTTATAGTAGGGAGTTATAAATATTACATAAGGTACAGAGAGTACAGACTTCATCAGACCTGGGTTCAATCCTAGTTCTAGGTGCCCAAGTTGACCACCTCTGAGACCTCCATAGTACAGAGAAAAGCTGTCTTCAGCCATCTTACCCAATTCCTTGACTGTTTCTGGTAGGCTTTCTTTGCTTACTAGATTCTCTTGTTTTTTAGGTATTACAACCATTGGCCACAAAGAGATGTCATCTCTTCTTTCTCATATTTATACAAATATTTTATCTTCTTGGCTTAATTAGTTTGGAAGAATCACCAACACGATACTTAAAAATAGCAAAACGAAGATTTTCCTATTTTAATGATGTTGGATTTAATGTTTCACTTATTAGAATAAAATATGTGGCTAATTTTTAGTCTTTATCAAATTTAAGTAGTTCCTCTTATTCCTGCTTGAGAGTTTTATTATAGACTTATATTGACTGCTATATAATATATAGTAGATATATTATCTACTAATATATGACTCTTTCGTTTGTTGATAGTGAATTATGTTGATTTCCTAATGTTTCCTATTACTGAAGCATTCTTGATTCCAAGAATGTACTCCATTTGGTCAGAGTGTATTACCCATTCGATACACTGCTGCATTCTATTCGTTAATATTGCATTTTGCTGGATAAAAGACTTAAATGTGACTCGTGAATCCATAAAAATTCTAGAAGAAAATGTAGGCAACAAAATTTCAGATATCATACGCAGCAGAATTTTTACTGATACATCACCTACGGCAACAGAAACAAAGGAAAAAATGAACACATGGGACTACATCAAACTAAAAAGCTTCTGCACAGCAAAAGAAACAACCATCAAAATGGAAAGGCAACCCACCGTATGGTAGAACATCATTGCCAATGATACATCAGATAAGGGGTTAATTTCCAAAATATATAGAGTGCTCATACAACTCAACAAAAGGAAGACAAAGAACCCAATTAAAAAATGGGCAGAGGACCTAAATAGACACCTCTCCAAACAGGACATACAAATGGCCAAGACATATGAAGAAATGCTCAACATCACTAATCATCAGGGAGATGCAAATTAAAACAACAATGAGGTACCACCTCACACCTGTCAGAATGGCCGCCATCAACAAATCATCAAACGAGTGTTGGCGAGGGTGTGGAGAAAAGGGGACTCTAGTGCACTGCTGGTGGGAATGCAGACTGGTGCAGACACTATGGAAAACAATATGGTGTTACCTCAAAAAATTAAAAATTGAACTGCCATTTGACCCAGTGATCCCACTTCTAGGAATATACCCTAAGAAGCCTGAAACACCAATCAGAAAGAATATATGTACCCCCATGTTTGTAGCAGCACTATTTACAATAGCTAAGATCTGGAAACAGCCCAAGTGTCTATCAGTAGACGAATGGATAAAAAAGCAGTGGTACATATACACAATGGAGTACTATGCAGCTGTAAGAAAGAAAGATCTTTTATCCTTTGAGATGACATGGAGGGACCTGGAAAGTATTATCCTAAGTGAAACAAGCCAAGCAGAAAAAGACAAATACCACATGATCTCACTTATTTGTGGAATATAATGAACATAACAGTCTGAGGAAGAGAGTAGACCCAGGAACATGGAGGTAGGGTACAGACTGACAAACCTCAGAAGAGAGGGTGGTAGGGAGAGGGAAGAGATAAACCACAGAACTTATATGCATGTATGCATAACCAATGGACAAGGACAACAAAGCCGGGGACAGGGCAGGGGGGATGGGGAGGACGGTGTCAATGAGGTAAAAAAGGAGAAATATCTGTAACAAAAATAAAATTAAAAAGAAAAAAAGAAAAAAAACTATATATTGCATTTTGCATCTATGGCTATGTGGACTTCCAAATTGAGGAGTTTTACTGTGTGAAGTTAGACAAGACACACAATCTCTCTGTGCCTTCTTTCTTATCTGAAAATGATGACAATATTACCTACCTTGAAAGACAGTTAAAAGGATTATAAAGTTTTTGTAAGCTGCCTTACTTAGTACCCAGCACATAAAAGATGCACAATAAACGGCAGTGAGGGGTGAGAGACATCAGCTTGACCCGCCATGCCTGCAGTGCCGAACGCTCCTGAAGAGGGACTCTGACCCTTGCCTCTACTACAGAATCTGGCTGTTGGTTCAACTTTCTTAATAAGGTGAGAGTCTGAGATTGAATCTGGTGACCTAGTGACTATAAATTGAAGTCCTTCAATTGGCTACTTACATTATCTCCCTCTCCCTGCTGTAAATATTGCAAAAAATAATAATAACAGTTAAATGATACTACACATCTCAATTCCATCGGACTCAGGAAACAGGGCCTAAAGAGGCCCCCCAGGGCACACTCTGGGCCTGCTTGTGGCTTTTTCTATTTAACCTTTTAAATGAAATGAAGTCAATAAACAGCAAATTATGGGGTAATTAGATATAAATCCATTTCATCACCAGTATATTGTTGGTAAGGAATAAATGTTTATTAAAAATAAGAATGATAAGCCCTAGCTGGTTTTGCTCAGCGGTTAGAGCATTGGCCTGTGGTCCAGAGAGACCCAGGTTTGGTTCCTGCTAAGGGCACGTACCTCGGTTGCAGTTTGTCCCCGGCCCTGGCTGGGTCGTGCGGTTGGCAGTAACTCTAAGTGTCTCTCTCTCTCTCTCTTTCTCCCTCCCACTCTATCTGAACAAAAAATGAAACAAAAACGTCCTCGGGTGAGCATTTCATTTGTGCCATTTTGTTATATCAATTACCGCTGTCTTCCTCAATCTCAGAATTTCAGGATCTCAATAATCATTTGGTCTAGTTATTTATCAAACTGTTTTATTCCCATGAATACTCTAGAATTCTGTCCTGGAACAAGTCCACTGATGGGGAACTCACTACCCATCCACACAGGTATTTCTTTGGACTCCTTGAATTACAGTTATGTCTACACTAGAGAGCCTCGCTTAAGGACAATTTCACATTGATTTCATCTTCATAGCAATAATTCCACCTCACAGATTGCCATGCACACCTTACCCCTTCAAAACATATTCAGTAAATAGCTGATCAATGAACACAGAAACACTCTGTGGAAAAGCCTGAGATGGGGAGGAAGTAAATGTGTAGAATCTGATCTAACTATCCACAGTAATTTCATACAAATAGTCCTTGAAGCTTATAAATCCAAACTCAAGCAAAAGGCTTCCCATATCTCTTTCCCCACCACCACAGAGCAATTCCTTTTAGAACAAAGCCTTTTGCTAGAGATTCTCAGAGTAGTCCCCAGACCAGTGCCATCAACGTCCCCTGGGGAACTTGTAAGAAATGAAATTATCGGGCTCCATCTCAGAACCACTGACCCAGTAAGACTTGGGGTGGAGCCCGGCAATCTGTATTTTAACAAGCCCTCGAGGTGATTCTGATGCATGCTAACGTTTAACTCTATGCTAGAAGACTGATATATTTAGGTTGGACTCTGCCTGCCCTGCATGCTCCTGCCCTTCTGAATGGATGGCAGTGGCAGGCGAGGTTCAGTAAGAGGCAGCCCTGAGACCTGTGTTCAACTATTTGAAGAAAATGATCCAGGCCGCACATGGAGGTCCAGGAAGCAAGACCATTTTACCACGGTCCCTTTATAGAGCTCTCGGGATAGAGCTTCATTTCTCCCCCACCTGAGAATACCATACCATTCCTTCATCACCAGGTCTTCAAAAACACATTTATTAACCACCTAACGTGTCCAGCCCTGTGGCACCCGAAAACAATAGATAAATGAGCCCCACTCCCCGCCCTCAAGGGGCTCGCAGTCTAGCAGAGGGAGCCTCCCCAGCAAGTAAGGAGGAAGGTGGGACAAATGCACCAGAGTGACCACGTGCCCTGCAAAGAAGGGCCAGCACACGGGCTTGAGGGTGTGGGGACAGCTTCCCAGAGCTGGGATGAGCTGGTGAGACGAGCAGGTAGACAGAGGAGGCAAGGGCATTCTGTCACCAAAAAACA